ATAGTGCTTGATTTGATTTCATTTGGACCATATCAGATCAGACTCATTATCGTTGGATTCTTTTCGTTGAAATATCCATTTCAACTATAATTTTTTTGAAATCAAATTTCAGATGATAAAAAATTTTATTCCATGAATTTTTAATATAAAATCATACATTGTGATTCGTGCCATTCAAATAAAACTTTTTACACATTTCAAATCTTATCAAAGTAAGACCCATAATTAAGCTAGGAAATTATGAGATGAAAATAAAAATATATAAAATTAGAGTAAATAGCCATAAATTCTTACTCACATGCAATGTATTAAACATGAGTATACATAACTATATACTCTAATTTTATATATACTTTTTTTTATGTATATTATTCTCTCTTTTTTCTTTTTTGGATTGTTAGGGGATTGGAGCCTGGATGCATGAGATGAGAGGAATTTCTTTCGTCGACCACTCGGCCACATACCCGATCTCATGTATATTATTCTCATCTAACCATATTGACAATATATGATAAAATTTCTCAGATCATGTGATGAAGAGATGGTAGCCCTTGTGATGGAGAAATTATTAGATGTGGAGTGCAGAGTCCGTCCGGAGACCAATAAAAAGCGCCACATCACCTCATTGGTGGGTATCCAGCTCGATACCCGCACTAAGTACCGCTAGGTATCCGGTAACTGTGCGGACGATTCTCCCGTCTGCAGTCCGTACCTAATAATTTCTCCTTCTGATGAGGTGGGGTTTCCAACACTATTCCTGAGAATGGGGCTGTCCCCATAGTGATCAAATGATTGCTCATTTGTTTTTAAATTATGCCTAATTGTTAGGTTTGATATATTGGGATTCCCACCATTCAAACCTAGCTCGCTCGCTTTCTTTTGGACAAGAGCTGTCTAGTTAGGATCCATCTAGCCTTTGAGACTTTGAAGCATTTGTCATGTTGGAAACAGGGAAAGTTACCTCCTGCCCTCTTCCATTATTCTCTCTTCTCTGTCTTTGGCCTGTCAAAGACTGCAAGGAGGTGGCCCCCATCACTACCTCTCCACCTAAAACTTTAAAAGTAGAAGCTCAGTGCCTTGCCCTTTTCTTGTGTGAAGTATCTTTGAATTTTTTAAAAGTAGCTCATTTTGATATTTTGTTTGGGACTAAATTGTTCGTTGGAAGTTTTGACTATTAATTAAGGGTTATTCATTTGAAGTTTAGATGTATGATATGTGTAAATTTATCTGAACGACATCTCCAACCGAATGACGAACGCATGTTTGTGGCTATCACGAGCCTCCAACCGAAAGTTAAACGTAAACGCATTTCTGCATTTTTTTCTATGCTGCAAACAGTGTGATGCCAATATATATTGATTTCACGATGTTAACCTAAATTTATTTTTTTTATAAAAAAAGAGGAGAAAGAATATATATAGAATATTCTTTTTTGATGTTAACAAGATGTTCAGTTATAAATGAATTACTATTAGGCATAATTTGCTGTATTTTGAAGTGAAAAATGGGTTTTTCGGTTGGAGATGCCCTACTTGTCTCAAAATTTAAAAAAATTGTTGTTTGGGAGGTGAGGCTATCAATCAAAAGATTTTTGAGATTGAAACTTGCATGTGTGATATGTATGAGAGTTTGTGTTTAATTTACTCAAAAGACTTAAATTTTTTTAAAAAATAAATTTATACAGAATAATTAATTTATTTATCTAATTCAGGAGAATTTATGAAAAAAAAAATAATTGAACCATTTAAATAAAATAGAGCTCAATTTTATTCTTTATGTGAATTTATTTGGAGAGCAACACTTACTTTTATTTGAAGAGAAATTAAAAATGATTAACTTTGAGTTAACTTTTAAATTTAACCGAGTTAGATCTATTAAATTAATGAAAAATAATTTCTGATTAAGACTTCATTTGAGATGATTTTTTTACTATTTCTTAAAACAACTTTTTAGTATAAAAATTTAATTTTTTTTACTAAAAAATTATTTTAAGAAGCAATAAGAAATCCTTCCCAAACGAGATCTAAATATCTTATTTTTATATGCTATCAAAAAAAAAAAAAAAAGCTGTCAAAAACATCTTAATAAAACTATAAATAATTTAAATGTGCTTATATAAATATTATGTAAATTAATTTTAATTCAAAAAATATTTTTAATAATTATAAAAAGAGTTTTAAATTTTGGGCATAATTATCAGCTTAAACGGGAAAGTGGGAACTATAAAAATAACTATTGTTGATGTTTTTACGTGAATGATTAGATAGACAAAGACTCGTAGTTTTTTATATGAGAAAACTATTAAAACTGCTTAGTCCTGACAAGAAGAAGGCAGACCTCTTTGGGATGCGCATATTTTTTGTTGTTATTGTTCTCAGTTGCAGGTACAGTTCTTTGTGGGTATTTTTTGAGCAATAGGGTTCCGAGCAAAGAGAGAGAAGCAGAACAAAAGAGGACCCAATGCCAATAATGGATGATCATATGAGCCTTTTGAGAAGATAAAATTTCCTGCTGAAAAGCATAGGAAATTATTGTCCATGATTGCATGAAATGCAGGAGTTTGGGTGGGGCTATGCTGTGATCTAGGTTGTAATTGGGAGGGATTTGAATGTATTTTTGGGAGAAATTATTCTGTGCAGGGATCAGATACAGAACGTCATCTATAGACCAACTAAAATGCGTCACGTCAGCGGTATGAGCTAGCCGAGATACTGAGCAGTACCAAGCCGTGGTATAAAGCATAAAAATTTTGTTATTAAATTTTTTGTTGGATATTTAATATTTAAAATTTTAAAAATAGCACGGCTTGGGTCGTATGATTTACTAATAGGGTTAGAATATTTTATGCTTTTTTTTAAAAATTTAGGGTTTAGCCATATGTGGCATGGTTTGGGTCGTCACACGATCTATTAATAGGATTAGAATATTTTTGTTTTTTTTTTTTATTTAATTTGTTTAGCCATATGATTCGTTTATGAGTTAGCTTAGACTCGCTTCAATGAGTTACTAAGCAATTAATTGTTTAACCTGTGAGTTGAGCTCAATGAGCTAATGAGTTAAATCTGAATTAATCATGGCTAAACTTGTTATCTCGTTCTATAAAAGTTATTTACATATATAATAATTGAGAGCTTTAAATATAAAGTTTCAAAATTGTCATGATAACATATTGGAAATATTAAAAAAAATTCAAAAAAACAGGGAGAGTTTGGAGCACTAAATAATTTCTTGGAGGGGTTTTATCAAAGCAATTAACATGGCAGTGATGATGTCACTAGCTTGATCATGTAAGAAATAGAGGCGGTTCCTCTATTGAACATTTTCAATGGTTATTAAATAGACGCTGTGGTGGTAGGGGTGTCAATATTTGACACGACATGAAAATCCAAACCGGATCCGATCCTATAAATCTGGGTTGGACCCGACCCGTTTGAAAAACGGGTCGAGTTCGAGTTCAAAGATTCGACCCATTTGAAAAAACGGGTCGGGTTCGGGTTGACCCGGCGGGTTGCCGGGTCAACTCGAAAACCCGTTTATTTTAAAAAAATTTGGATTTTCCGCCCGCTGCCCCCGCCCGTGCTGCCCCGCGCGCCCC